AACTCCATTTATAACAACCTTCTGCTTTCTTCCTTCCAGCCACTCTTCTATCCAATTAGTTAACTTATTCTCTACACCAACAGAGATAACTTTTTACAAGCCTTTTATGCAGCACCTTGTCAAATGCATCCTGAAAATCCAGATACACCAAATATACATTCTTACCCTCATCTACATAAACAGTAACCTTTTTAAAGAACCTGAAAAGCTTTGTAAGGCAAGGTCTTCCTTTAGTGAAACCATGTTGACTATCCAAAAAGATTATAAACGTTGTAAAATTAGTTAAATGATTTTGCAAAACATCTTTTATCAGACTTTCCAAAATTTTTCCTATAACTGTTGTAAGATTAATAGGTCTATAAGTACTGGGACAATTTTTATCACCTCCCTTGAAGAGAAGAATAACATTAACCAACTTCCAATCCTCAAGTACTTGCACACTATACATAAAGTAGTGGCAAGTGGGCATACCCTCTTCAAAACCCTTGGGGAAATATTATCTTCTGTAGGAGCCTTATCCTTCTTTAAACTTCCCAGTTTTTTTCTTAACAAGCTCAGAATTAATGTCATCTTCTTGTTTTGATGTAACAATTGTTCAAGATGAGAAATATGAAATTATTATAAATACCGTATTTTTCGGTGTATAAGATGCACTTTATTACCACAAAATTTGATGTCCAAATCTTCTTGCATCCTATACACTGAAGGTATGAATAATATATATGTATATATATGATATGCATAAGCCATGTATAAATATATTTAAATAGGCATGCATAGTTTAGTTCAATTGAATGTGTTATTTATAACAATAGTAGTTTTTCTCTTTTAAAAACATAACTATTTATAATGCTCCCTAAATAATAAAAAAATAAATTATAGTAATGGAGTTAGTAAAGTTAGTATGGTAAAGTTTTCCCCAAAACTTCATCTTCAAAATAAGGGTACGTCTTATACACTAGTGCGTCTTATATTTAGAAAAATATGGTAAATCATGAATTAAGAAAAACAAATTATTGACCGATATTTTTTTCTTCAGATGAGTTAATTTTTGGTGAGTATTATTATGTTATGTCCTATTTTTAGATGAGTAATTCAAATATACAAATGAGTTTGTTTTGATGTATTATAATACGAACAAATTAATTGAGGGCTTTCACATGTGTAAACCGTAACAGGCTTGCAGCCTAAGGGAAAGTAGTATTGGAAACATTGCTGAAACTAATAAATCAACAAAATTTGGCATTATCAGTTCTTAAGCTGAAAACTTGTTCCTTTTTTTATTATTGTACCTTGTGTTCTAAATAATTCGGGAAAAGAAAACCAAATTTGTATTAAATATATAAAAGAAAACTTACCACAGATATTTGCTTCTTTCTTAATTTTTTAAAGCATTATTAAAGCATGTGCATGGGGTCCAATGGACTGACTGCATATTGGTAAAGAAATATTGGCTATAATTCTGAATTTATTATGGCAAGCCTATTGTACATAAAAAATCAGATGTGTTACAAACATATTTGTACTCAAGATATGTCTGTGAATTGATGATATCAGTCTGACTCAGACATTGACAAGTCAAAGTGCAAGGTGATTGATGTTGATGTGAAAACAAATTTTCTCAATTATACAGTTTGCATATTGCCTTTGCAAAACTTCTAGAAGTTTTGAAATGCTTATCTAGTTTTTTTCTAGTATTCCTGTGAATTTCATCAGGTATTTAATTTCCTTTACCACAAACTGTCACTAAATCAGCAGTATAGGGTAAAATGAATAGTTAATAACTCTGACATCAAATACATGATACCATGTTGAATGGCACTCTGTAAAAGGCCATGGCATGTGCATTTTGACCTTCACCTGTGCATGTAGATTAAAACAACAAGATCTATTCTTTATAGTTTAATAGCCTATTAATCTCAATTCATATACTTGTATTATGTTACGTATTGAGAATTTGAAATAATCCAAAGCCGTGTTAAATAATTTAACTTTTAATAGTTGAACCGTACCTTGGATTTAGGTTTAGAAATATGCCGATATTTAATTTAATTTATGCTATTCATCAACAAGATTGATTCACAGCATTTTTGTTTTGACACTAGTACGTTTTAATATATATATATATATATATACACACACACACACACACACACACACACACACACACACACGCGCGCGCGC